CTGGCCGTGCAGCTCGAGTCTGTTTTTTTTAAAGAAAAAAACGCCGAGGCCAGACAGATGTGGGGAAGGCGCTCTCACTGGGTGGGGAGGAAGGATGTAAAAGGGCGTGCGTTTAACTTTTTCACCTCCCTCGATGTGGTAAATAAATCCCACGTGGGGGCCACCCTCCAAAATAGGCGCTCTCCCCAGAGACAGCCCCCCCCCCCTGAACAAACGCTGTAACGCTGCGTTGCATCAAAGTGCCTGCCGGACAGTGCATCTGGATTTGACACAGGCCTCAGTTTCTCCTAACGCGATAACATCACGTTTTTTAGTCCTCGGAAAAGTAAAAACGAATTTAAACTGGTGTGAGATTTACTGTCTAACCAATAAACGTCCCCTCCAGGAATAACACTAATGTTCTTTGTTAGAATTGCACTTCGGGAAAGCCTGAAATGAGTATCCAAGACTCGTTTTCAGCAGTACCTTGCATTGGGATATTTTTCCAACTCCAATAATGAGCGTTTGGCTTTGTTGCGGGAGGAAACTTGAGTATCCAGAGAAAACCGATGCATAGGAGGAAATGACAGTCAAAACCCGGTTACAGATGCATTCAGACATCGAATTCACAATACAAGGTTCTCCCAGGCAGTCTCCTATCCAATTATTAACCAGGCTAATCCGTGATCTGACGAGACTGGGTGCGTTAAGGGTCATTTGTATATAGGCTTAGACAATGACCTACCCACTGCCTCAAATTTCTTCTCTCTGACTGCTAGGGATAGCGCTGTTAGTGAACCTGTTAGAGCTGGCAAAGCACACACTGCGTTGGTGTGGCCAGTAATACCCTGGGCTGTCTTCGTCTCCCCAGTTGATTTGTCAAACACCTGCACCACGAGTTACTCCTTTTTTTAAAAGGCCGAGTCACCTTAAGGGGGGGCTCGTACAGCGTGTTCAGATATCACTCTGTATTGATGTTTATCCCCGGTTAGGAATTGGTCTTGGGTGGCCAAGATCTCTTAGCGCAGTGCGCAAACTACTATGGCATGATTCCACTCCCCCACCCCATGCACGTGCCCACGAGCGCACCGCCCGAAGTTCAAATGCGGACAAAGAGGAGATGAGCCAGAGCCCCGATGCACTCATTTGTCCCACATGTTCTGAGTTTGACAGATTTTGGCATCCGAGGATATGGAGTCCACAACTTGAAACCAGTTGTAATTTGCGTAAAAGGCATCGCTTCGTAAGACGGTGTAGCCAGCTCGGTGTGACTTGGCATGGTGAACATGTCGTCTTCGTATTATCCTGTGATTTTTAAACGAGGTTATCAAATGTCGTGAGTTGCTGGTCAATGCCCAGTCGCCAGTGACTCAACCTCGCCCCCCAAAAGCACATTAAAACTAAAGCGTAGGTTTTTAGTTTTCACTGGTAAAATTTCCAGCTCCTGATAATAAAAAATGGGTCCCTAACCGTGCAATGAATATTTCTCCAATTCAAGCACACGGGTGGAAAGTGAAGTACCTAAAGGTGTGGATCAAGGAGGTCGCTTCAAAGACTCTCCCAAAACAATTCCGTAATATCGCCTTCTGCCGGGCATATCCTCCTAGTGCAGAGTGCGATGCTCTGCTCTGGGAGAGTACCCAAATGTAAAACTTCGTCTCGTCATTATAAAATTTGGTAAGAAAACAGCATTTTAAAGTCCATAACCTCCCCCGTTTCCTCTTTTTAAGTGAACAATGTGGTGGAATTGGTTTTACAATAATGGCACTCCCACGTGTATTTATGTTTCCCTTCTTTCGCACCGTACGTAGCCAACCGTACTCACAAACATGCTTTCATTGGGCGTGACCACACCTGCATTAAAATTAACGACGTCCATTTTCGCCTGGATATACGGTGTTGGTTGCGGTGAGGTAACGTGAAGACGCGTGACAGGTGGGACACCGTGAGAAGGCTAACGGACGACAAAGTAGCAAACACCCGGAGCCTTCTCTCCTTAAACAAAGGTGTAATAGCAAAATTACACCAACTTTCTCCTGAAGCCATCCTCTCGTCGTGGCTAGCAGACCTCCACATTGGCATTTTGTCTATACAGCACCTTGTGACCCCCGGGTGAAATGCCCTTTAATAAGTGTTTTTTTAAAATATTATATGATGTTGTCACGTGGCTTTGCTCAATCTGGAAATTTGCAAGACTTTTTTTTCAAATGTGAAAAAATTGAACCAAGACACCGGCACACATAGCATACTCTCTCTCAAATAACATCGCGAGATACTTAATGTCCACTCTGAAGCAGACAGCGAGTACCTGTGGATAATATGCTCGCAGTATTAACCAGGGCAGCCTCCGTGCTCGTACCGTGAACCTCTGCAACGAGGGGTGAATGCACTTCCACTCGGACTTGCCCCGAATCGTTAAACAGTTTGTTTTAAAGTCTCCTTCGATACGGGCCAAGTTCAATTCCGTTATTAAAAATACAACGTGTGCTGAAATTGTCTATTGCTAGGTGTGTAATGGTTAACCACCACAGCGACTCGAATTATTGCAAATGCAGGGTCATAATTAAATGAAACGTCGATTTATTAAATTAGATTGCGGTGAATGTAATGCCCTCTCTCTGCTGCAGGAGTACGATGAATCTAATTCAGACAACATGATGGGACGGTGGTCTGACCCCTCATACAATTTAACAGGAGGTTAAGCATCAAGGTGAATTAATCCAGGCATCAATACACCACTAATATTAGCCCATGCCACATGGCTAAGGCGACTAATGCAATCGTTGTCTTTCATCTCATCCAAAAATAATACTCATCTCGTAGGATACAGAACCCGTGTCTGAGGTCGGTACAGAACCCTCGTCTCGTACAATACAGAATTATCGTCTACTATGAGGATAAACAATGAGTAGCTAAGGTTATATTTAGGCCGATAATGAAACAAATTGTCGTGATCAGATGGGGAAAAAGTGAAACAATAGAATGGTGAAAACGATGCAAAAACATTCAATCTTGACTCGTAATCGCGACGAACCCTCTCCCTTGAAGCCGTGAATCTGTGCCCAGGGTACATGAAGCAAATAAAAAGCTTGGAAAGAAACCCAACAGCATTTTCACCGAGTGTTGTGGTGCACGCGCGAGTCGGGTTGGTGGATCGCACAGAGATGGAGCCCCCACCACGTTCACGACACCAGCCTTGAGGGTAGCGAATCGCCGTCAGTAAACCAGCAGCACGGCGAGTAGGTTTGTAGGGTTTGGAGCATTTTTCTCAATTCCTCGTCATGTGCGCGTTTTCTCCCGGGTACTCCGGGTTTTTCACCCTTCTTTTAAATGATGAACAAAATATATACCCAATGAAACATTTCCCTAACATTCTAACGCAGGACCCTCCTAAGACGGGCTATTGAGGCTCGCTGAAACTGTCCCGGGTAAACAAAGCATTAACTATATAATTTATTAGGATTTTGCCGCACAAAGAAACAATACTATACTTGGAGCCGCCGTTACGAGCAAAGGAATGAGCACACAGGACGGGTCAGATCACTGGCCCCGATAAAGGCCACTCCTGCGTCATTGCACCAAGCTGCCCAAGACGGGGGGAGGGGGGGGGTAAGGCAGTGGAACGAGGCGGCCCATATAATAAAAGCCACCGCGATAATTTACATATTACCTTGCGTCACAGGCCCTATCTGGCAATATTGAATTGCGGTTACTTTGTGCTTCGCTCGCTGTGAAAGCCTCGATCGCAGTTGAAGAAGAGGGGGGTGGGGGGAATGAAGCCCCACAACACCACCACCACCACAGTGCAACCATCGGTCATTGTAGTTGGGTGCGGCGCAAAACTGTGTTGGGGAGAGTGTTGGGATTTTTTTTGGGTAATTTTTACGAGTTGGCTGTTTTGGCAGAGCAAAACACACGCATGCGCACTAGTCACACTTGCTTGACCAAGTGCGCGCGCGTGTGTGTGTGTGTGCCGTTAGCCTGAGCTTATTCTAATGAAATTAGAGCTGCTTTTAGAGAGCTCGTGTTGGACTGCAATGTGGCTTTGACTCAGGCATGGTTGATTGTTAATTTACTGTAGTTGCTAACCAAAGGTGTGTACCCCCTTGCCTAAATATCCCAGTTGCAATTTTGAAGCGTCATATTTATTTCCTCCCCGATTTTTATTCCAGTTGTGGTAATCGGCGTCCTACCGGCGTTCTCGAGGTGGGCGTAACACTACTGTAGAAGGCACTTGCAGGACTACGTGTAGTCTCCCTTCAAAAGTGCCTCATCCGCACGGGTTGGTGGTGGCTACCTCGTGTGCATTGCATCCACACTGACGTGTAAATCCTCAGCAGGAATTAGCAAGAATCCAAATATAAAACGATGAGTTTTTTTTTAACGCAGTCGTTGGAAACCAGGCTCAGGCCCATCTTGCTACAATTAAGAACCCGGTTTAATAGTGGGTGGCTGGAATGCAGATTTAAACGCAGAGGCTCGGCATTGCTGGCTTGGTGCTCTCACAGGCAATTGGCACCTTAATCCACCTGGTCATGTTCACATGTAATTTTCTTTCGGAATGTATTTGTGTACCCGGGAAAACCACACTGTTTTTTTTTAAATAATAATTTAAGGAAGGTTTTACTTGGAGATTTTTCGGCCAACTCGGTTCTTTTGGTACAGGAAAGGGGAAACCGCTTGCAGAAAATGTCACGGCGAGTGTCATGGTCAGTGTGTCTTGGTGGGAAGCGGTAGAGTAAGTGGTTGGCACACTGCGCTACAAACCTGGCAAAACCGAGTTCGCATGGCCCAACACCAGTGAGTCACGGCTGAATTAGTCCTGAGCCTGCCTGAGGTCGACTCAACCTTAACAAAATTACTAACCGGTGGGATGTGTTTAACATCAACACTCTGGAGACAAAGGCAACCGGGCGTGGTGTTGGCCACCCATTCCCCTCGTGTGCCCGTGCCCGGCCTTCTTCAAAAGGTGTGGTATGGCGAGTGTCGCGATGAGTGTTTTTGGTGTTGGCTCGACTTACTATGACGCTTATGCCTTCCCTTTCCAGCGGACTCTTGTCGTACGTCACTTCACAGACGCGCACCACGGTCGTCACGCTGTACTGCTTCAGCTCCTGCACGGGAGCCGCATGAAACGATGCCGTTAGTTTGAGTGAATCTAAACGCTTACTCATCGCGACGATTGTCATCGATTCTTACGCCGTAACTACATGCAACGATTTGTGCGTGACCGAGCTGACGGTTTCTAATTCGCGCAAATGAACTGTTTGCGAATTGTATGGCTCATGTCACCTGTTGGGCCCATGGAGTGTGACTTTACAAATCAGGTGGAACAAATTCGAATATTCTCGAAATTATTCGTGACCCTGAACTTTTACAATTCTCTGAGTGATGCAAGGTGGAAGGGGGTTGGCTGTGGCGAAAATCTATTACGCGACTGGTAATTGACGTACATTACCCAGTTTCCCGCTCTCCTGTAATCCAGTGTTTTAGGAGGCAGGGTCGGTGGACACCACAGACTGCCATGCGCTGTTGGGCTCGCCGTGGGGTTACAAGGCGGCCAGGTGATGACGCCAGAGCAAAAATGGGTTTGTTGACCCATCTGTGTGGGCCTTTGGGGTGGTATCCCCTTTTTATCATTTTCGGTTTTCTGCAGCTACTCTGGTTGCCTCCTACTTGCAGCACGATCTGTAAAGGGCAATGGACAAAACATCCCATGCGCAGGACTCTCTATTAAAAAATAGTATGGAGGCTCTGTGGTGCTGTCCTGGGTAAGGGCATGTGTGTGTTTTATTATGGTCTGCCATGCTCACCTCTATGAACTTGTTGAGGGTTGTATTGTTGGGGTTGTGGGTAATCAGAAACCTCATCTCCCTGTACGTGACCTCCACCGGTGCTGGCCGATTCATTCTAGCCATTGTCTTCTAATTATATGTCAAAAAATCAAATGATATTTAATAAACTCAGTGTATGGGTATCTTCGTAATGAATATATCACGTGCTTCACTCCGATTTGCAATTGCAACTTCTGAAACCTGTTCACGTTGACTTCAAGACGTAACTTTCAGTGTCCACAACATTTTCAAGTTCACATTTACGTGCTCGGCGTGGTGTCTCGATCGGTCTCGGCTTGATTTGAACTCCCCACCCTCGTCGCCTCCAAAGAGCAGCTGGTTCGCTTCGACGTAGGCGGCGATCCTGGCCGTGCTCACATAGTGCGACCCTCCCCTCCTCCTGGCGCAGCTCCGCACCTCCGAGCCGAATTCACCCGCGATCGCCGCAAAAGTAAGGAACGGCGTCCTTTTTTCCGTTTTGCGTTTCGTCCACGAAAAAGCGCAGGGTTTCGGGGCCCGTCACTCCGCAACCACTCTCCGGCAGTCGCCTGGGCAAACAAAGCGGCGCTCGTGTCCGCCGGCTTTGCCCGTCCGCTCGTCGTGTCGATTCATTTAAGGCGAGCGGTTTTTTTTTTTTAGCTGCTGCTGCTGCTTGCGGTCGAGGTTGTCAACGGCGACGGAGAATGACGAGCTCTTCCATTTTACTTGGGGGCCGTATTTGTTTCTCTGGGCCCCCCACTCCGACTGCGGCGGTGGCAGGCGCGTGAGCGGGACGGACGTGGCGGGGAGGGGGAGGGGGGGAAGGCGTGTTTTCTGTGGGGGCTGGGGGGGGGGGCTCAGGTGTGTTGCGCCTGGCAGAGGTCGCCGCGTCCGGTCCGTGTGGCCATGCACGCGCAGCCGTCGACGGTAGCGCAGGCGCCACTCCTCTGCTCCTGCCACGGGCCCACAAATTGCAAAGCGAGGATAAATGATTAGTGGTCGAAACGTACCGTGGTTTGGACGACGCTATGCCATATACCCAGGGGCGGAGCCACATGAGCGGCTGGGGGGGGGCTTACCCCCCCCTGAAATTTTGGGAAAGTCGGTAATCGGGATAACTGGATATCCGGCTGCTGCAAAATGCTGCAGGCTGCCACCTTGTGCTGCCCTGCAGGCTGCCACCTTGTGACCTTGTGCTACCCTGCAGGCTGCCACCTCGTGTGCTACCCTGCAGGCTGCCACCTTGTGTGCTGCCCTGCAGGCTGCCACCTTGTGCTGCCCTGCAGGCTGCCACCTTGTGTGCTGCCCTGCAGGCTGCCACCTTGTGTGCTACCCTGCAGGCTGCCACCTTGTGTGCTGCCCTGCAGGCTGCCACCTTGTGTGCTGCCCTGTAGGCTGTCACCTCGTGCTGCCCTGCAGGCTGCCACCTTGTGCTTCCCTGCAGGCAGCTTGAGCGGCAGCCTTTCGAACTTATCGAACTTATTAGCCACATCAGCGGCTCCGACCTATTAATAAACTCCGCGTTGAAATCCAATCAAATTTGTTTTATACATTTGTGGCGCCCATTGGAAAACATAAACACTGGATATCTCAGAATATTGAAGTCAGCCCCCCCAAAGTCAAAATCCTGGCTCCGCCCCTGCATATACCGCCATGGCTCGGAATGAAGCCAAACCGTGTGTGCTGGCACTTTTTGCAAGACTCGCTCCTGTCCCCTATACTGCGACGTTTTCGCAGAGCGGGATGCGGCGGTGAACGAGGGCTTTGAGGTTGATTTTTTAAATATAACTTTCGTACCTTCACTCCTACGTTTCCATTTCAACCAATGGAAATAATAACCAGACTATTATTTTGATTGAAAGCTTTCGTGACTGCAGGGATTCATATTCTTGGTTCTTTCGGTAAAGTCACCACGTAGAAGGGAAACAATAAAATAATAAAAATATAAAACAATAATATTCTCACGACGTTTCGACTGCAACACAAGCAATCATCATTGTGGTTTTCACACCCGATGATGATTGCTTGTGTTGCAGTCGAAACTTCGTGAGAATTTTATTGTTTTATATTTTTATTATTTTATGGTTTCCCTTCAACGTGACTTTACCAAAAGAACCAAGAATACAGACTATAATTGTTTAATGTTGCCGTTTCGTATGGCGTTGTTGGCCTCGTTGACACCAAAGCACCGTTGTATAATTGACTAAAAAAAACTACACTTTTTTGCTTGCTAGACGCATGCAAAATGCCTTGCATTATGTTCTAAAGCCCGGCAAATCTCAAGCGAAATGGGGCTGCGAGGTGGCCAGGATATGGCAGTTCTGAACTTTCACGAGGTTCTCTGGTCTTCTTGCACATGAGGCCAACCGATCATTCATGGAACAAGCCAAACATCCCCATACAGCACCCTCATGAAATCCTTAAGACTTCAGCGAGGCTTTTTATGGGTGTTATATATATAATAAATGAAAGCTATTGGCCAGCACAAATAAAATACAAAGATTACCCCCCCGCCTCCGTATAGCCTTAACAGACAGTAGGGGCAAGTGGTGCTAGCGAGCGCCTAATGAAGGCCGACATGGCACACGAGGGGGTGGGTGGCCAACGCCACGCCCGACCATCTTAGTCTCCCGAGTGGCGATGTTTACTACACCTTGCACCAGTTACTCATTTGAGGCCGAGTCAACCTCGGTGAGGCCCAGTATCAGTTGAGATAATCGCCACTGGTGTTGGCCGCGAGCGGGAATCAAACTCGGGTCGCCGTGTTCGTAGCGCAGCGTAGCGCTAACCACTACGTCGGGAGGCTCCCCCCGCACACGCGCACACGCACGCTTGACAAGTCCTGGGTAGAGCGAATTATTTTTGGGGCAGCTGGGGTGACCCTCTCTGTAACAATAGGGCCACACAAATGACTCCTCGAGGCATCAATCACGCGGCAGTTTCGCTGTTGACAATGGATCCGTTACAGGGGGCGGTGGGAGCGCGCGCGCGTGCGCCCACCGCGTCTGCACGCGCCACTGGTTTCCATTAAGCCTTCGCTGAGTCACACCTTAATGATTAGACGTGGGGGCAGAGACTCGGGTGGGGGAGACGGAGGAACATGAATTGCATGTGGCTCTGAAGTTTAGCATGCGTCCCAAATTAATTCTCTCTCTTCGAGAGCGAGCAAATACTGTGGTGCGGTGCCTTTTACAAGTTGACATTATTATTAATATTGCTAATAAAGCTGACCTTTTTTGTTTTGTTTTCAGAACGTTCTGGGTTGAAGCGTTGTAGCCAGGACCTTAAGATTTCCCCAGACCTTTATACAAACTGCCCTTCACGGCATTGCAGGAAACCCAACACCTGAACTGTCATCTAATTGCTTAGCCGCGTGGTAATGGTCGTGCCTTGCCAAATGCATCATTTTATTTTTAGCTCTTGCGGCCACTGTTTTTTTCTGTTCTGTCTCGTTCCTCTCCCAGTCTCCATCGCCTCACTCGTAAACCATTCAAAGCATTTGTTCAGCAAATGTCATGCAAGGCCTTGCAACTGGGTGCAAGGTGGTGTGAGGCCACTCAAAGTGTGTGACCTCCCGTGATTACACACGGCATTCCAAGCAAAACCACAAAGCCCTCCGTTTTGATGGTGCGATATGCAGTGCACTCCGCGTTCATGATACATTGTGTCTAGAGGACCAGTGTTCGTCTAATTGTTCAAGAGGCTCCATCGGAGACCGGCCCGTATATCAATCATCTAAGGACCCAATCAGAAACCGAATTGTCAATGCTTTTGTCTCAAGACCTCCCCATTTAGATGAGAAAATGTGGTGTCCAAAGCCTTAAAACAACACCATCTTAATCGCAACAGGTACAAACACTTGAAGAACAATCCACCAGCAGTGTTGTTACTGACGCAGCTGCAGATGCATACATTTCAGAAAAAAAAATACAAAAAAACAAGAATAATCCTTTCAAAAATACGAGAAACAATGTTTGCCGCTCATTGAGAGGAAAAAAAACCCCCAACTTTTTTGTTTTAATGAAATGTAACTGTCTAAACATCCAAGTGCTCTTCGTGGAAGCACACGTCACACGAACGTTTGTGATTTACAGTTCTTCACAAACGACCATGCCTGTCGTGCGGCGTGTGAGGTGTAGAGTGTGCAATGTGTCTTGCATGGTCATGTGCGAGTGGCGCTCCGTGACGGCGGTCACGTATGTGTGTTTTCGTGGTTTTGTTTACCGCAACGCTCTTTAAAGATGCCGCGTGTGGCACGCGAAGCGCCCAAATGAATGGCAAATCCTCGTGTCATGCCGAAGCTTTAGGAAGCCGCTGGAGCGATGCGCTTTTACATCTCGCTTGGAAAAAAAACTCGTTTCTCTCGAACTGCTTGTTGCGTTTAGTTTGTCATTGCCCCACATCCCCCCCCCCCCCCCCCCGATTAGCACGCTTGGCAACGTGCGGTGCGAAAGACGTTCCACGTTGCTGAATCAAACGGATTTGCTAAGCCGCTTGAGGTGGTGGTGGTGGTGGGGGGGGGGAGTGATAATGGCTCAGAATTTAGAGCAGTGACTGAATCTCGTTTGTGTTAAGATGGATTGTGCTGGGATGGTCAGGGAGTCAAGTGACAGAGGGATGTAGACCACTCAACTGTGGGGAGAAACTGGCTTTTGCATCGGAAGAATATCTGGAGTGACAATTTCCTGCATTTAGCACAGCCACGCTCGGTGTTTTATTTTAAGACTGGCCGCGTGTCTACAAAGTAAGAATATGACTGGGGGTGAATATAAGATTTGTACAATCACTACGACATAATTATCCCAGTGAGTTTGCACCATGCGTGACAACGGAATGACAATAATTACGGTAAATGCAATGACACAATTATTTATGTAATGTGTACAAACTGCCAAAACAATGCGTACAAGTATGTATGGTAAACTTCTTTCGCACCGTACATAGCCAACCGTGCCGACCGAAATTTGTGGGGAGGCCTTCATCCAGCAGTGGATTGACACAGGACTCCGCATACATAAAGAAGGTCAACTGATTTCCCGCTCAACTGAGCATCAAGGCAGTGTTTATCTCCTGTGTAAAAGCCTTGATTCGGTGGCATACATTCCACATTCCTATGGGCAGGGGTGACTATCACCATTGACTTCCCTACAAAAGTACGATACTCGATTTTATTGACGCTGGAGGGATGACGAACCGCCTGGCCGGATAAATACTTTAACAAACATAAAGAATCCAGCATGTTGTAGCGATGATCGGCACATTTTGTCACACAATTGAAAGGTTCACAAGTCCACATCCCGGTCGGGGGTTCAGCTCGGCCCAGCATCGTCAACCCATTACACCGCATGTTGATAAATGGTTAAATTATTTAAAATAATATTGTGATAAGAACGTTGCGATTTAACACAAGGCGACTACCAAGCTAACTTCGGAAAACTAGTCGCGCAAAAATGTAAATTATTTCTGCAGCGTCAATTGCACAGCTGTAGTAAAATCCTTGCGTTCCTTGTTGCGTAAATGAACTATACATTTCCGTTAGATAACCTTTGGATAATTTTGTGGGAAGTCGACAAAAGCGTCCCCTCTATGGGCGACACTGATCCCCGCCATAGGAACGTGGAATGTTTCACCACTGTCTCTGGGTTTTTTTCCAATGGACACGAGCGCCATTCAAACAGGGAGACAGCGAGCGATTTATTTTTAGATACGCATGCATGTATTCATATATATAGTATATACGTAGCACTCCGACACGCAAGTCAAGACAGGTGAAAGTTTGGTGCGAGGGGGGGGGGGAATCAAAGTTGCGGACAATTTCCACCGGTAAACAGGACACACCTTTTTTTTTAAAAAACAGAGAGCTCCCTGGGTGACGCTTGACAGCAACGGCAAGCTGGCTCGCGTTGGCAGCTTTTGTGGTGGCTCAGGTTGGAGTGGTGGCACCCCTCCGGTGTGCACGCTGTGCGATTTAAACGCCCGCGCCGAATGCTCGACCCACTCCGCACCCCCCTCTTCTTTATACGCATCTGGAGCGTGTGGGGAGGGGGGGGGGTAGGGCGAACCGGTGTGGGAGGTGGTGTGTGGTGGTGGGGAGGGGGGGGGGGGTCTCCCTTCTCTCGTGCAGGAGCTATCTTTACCCCCTTCTCGAGTTGTGTGTGCACGCAGGAAACGGCTCTCCGGCCAAATGGCATGCTCGGATGCCTTTCCCGCATGGCTGTACGCCATCCCGGCCTGCTCCCAAACATTTCCGCCTTTTGTTTTGATTTGCAAGTGACGCGAACTCCTCGGTGCTATGGGGGGTGGGGGGGTAGCTTCTGCTCCCACCCTATCTCGCCCCCCGGGGCCGCAACCCCTGGCAGATTTTAATTTTCAAATGTGTGTGCGTGGAAAGGTGCGCGCGGTGTGTGGGGGGGGGCCCAACAGCAAGAGCACCTGCTCTTGTGATTTTTAAAACCGTGCGTTGTATTGTTTTGTTGTAGCAAGAACCTTTTTCCGCTACAATGTATTTTGTCGAGTCTCGACCCCAAGCCTCTATCTCCATTGTGGTGTATCGGCAGCCGCATTACGTGGCCTCGCATAGAGGCACGGCATCGTGTTGTGATGTGACCATTGTGGCGTGGTGGCGCGTGTTCGCAGCGGGATTGTTTTAGGGGACAGACCTCTCCCTGTGGACACCGCAGGGGCAGTGGCTTTCAAAGCCTAGGGACACGCGGGACAATTCTTGACACTTGGACAAGCAGCCCGTAGTAGCTGTCAGTGGTGTAGCCAGGGACATCGTTGATTCGTTGAAACATTCACTGCTACTGTGGGTAGTCTTCTCAGATTTAATTTCACGATTGCTCGATTAATTTATTTTTAGTTTGGGTCGTGCAGATGATCTGGCCAGATATGCGAGGTGAAACCCCTCGACACAGGATGCAGCAAAACAAATTAATTCTACATGTTAAGATCAGTACGTGGTCTAACCCAACAATATATTTTGAATCCGATTACAGTTTTGGCTACACACACCTATGTTAACTTTCACAGACGCTGTTTTGTATTCTGGATATCGTCCTTAATCGCACCTGTTAAGTATATACTTCGTCAAAATGCAAATTGCTGTATGTTCTTTACATGTATTTAATAGTGCATACGTGTGTACAAGCTTATAAAAATGTAAAGTAATCCTATCATTGTTGAATGTATGCTTTACTGCATTCTTCACACATTGCAGACGACGCTTCTGGCAATGGCATTCGTCAGAAGGTGAAATATCCGGGTTCACATCCTCACGAGACACTGTGGGCTTCATCCACCCTTTGTCCTGGGGGCGTTTCAACGCTTTTTCTCATCATCGGATGAAAAGGAGCGTCTGCCAACACGCGACTGGGGATAAAAAAAAATCGGAAAAACAAAATCGCGCCAATAAAAAGACACGGACGGCACCTGAGCAGCGCCGTCGCTTGTTGCCAGTCCAGCTTCCGAAGGTTCGGGTTTCTGGAGTGGGAGTATCAACTCTTCGCCTGCGCACGTGGAAACGTTATTCCAAAATAATAATCCCATTCCGTCTAATATTGGGATTAGTCCCACGCCCCATAAGAGTCGTATCAAAAAGGTGATGAAAAACTGTCGCTACAAAGTTAAGTGTGCCGACCCAGTGGTCCCCACTAAGTTACTCGCTTTCACTGAATTCGATTTTTCATGAATGTTAGTTGTGTTTTTTAACGTCTAAAAATTGTGTGGTGTTGAACCGCTGGCTGCCCTTAGATCTCCTTGGCAATGTAATGTCAATCTCAAGGGTCAATGCTGGTTAAATAAAGGATTCAAAACTGGTGCCGTGTTCAAATGAGCATTGAGATGGTGCTCATTTCCAGTTTACAGCCCTGAGTCAGTGGTTTCAATTCCACATTCCTATGGTGAGGGTGAGTATATCCATAGTACAGTGGTATTTAACCCCCCCCCCCCCCCAACCACCGAGCCACTTGGACAGAGAAGAGATTATTTAGGATAACCAATTAAATAGCCACGTAATGCTGTTCGGAGGGCTTTACGTTCCGCATTGGTCGGAGGGCATGAACGAGGGAGTTGTGCACGAGGCAGATGGAAAGAGCAGTCGTCTGACGTAGACTGCAGCGAGTGACCTTGATGAAACGACACTATTCTAAAACTAAACAATGTTTTATTTCATTTTACCAGGTAACACCCCACTGAGCTACACATAGCTTTCTTCAGAAGCGACCTGGCCACATTATAGCCCAATGAAGTGGCTTATGTGGATTTTTTTTAGCAGCCAAATACAGTACTCGAAACGCACGTTTCTAAACGTGGAGGGAAAACCGGAGGACCTGGAGAAGAAAGATCCACGCGACCACGGGGAGAACATGCAAACTCCAAATATACAAGTGTCAAGTCGGAATCGAACCCCCACCACCACCTCCTAGCTTCAGTTAACATCTCACCACCAATCTCCTAGCATCTTCCCTGCCCGGGAGAGAACCATTTTTTTATTTACTTAGCTGGGTTCACATCGAGATGGAAAGGTCGTAACGCATCACCCTTGATGGCTGGGCCCCATTGTTAATTCAAACGTTGGCACGTTATTGCCAAAATACGACGAAAAGGAACATTGGCCAACACGTGGCTGACACCCGGTCCTTGATTCCCGAACCACTCGGTTCACAGCACACGTCGCTCTACAGTTGCCAGAAAACAAAATCGCTTTCCTTGGCTATGGAAACATGTGGAGGTCACTTGGAGCCAGCTCTTGTGAGTGTGGGGTTTTCTTCATGTTTCTGGATTTCATCAAATTTACGATATTTCACAATGCTTGCTCAGTGCGGGTTGATGGTGAAGAGTGTGTGGCCCAGGACCGGTTCGAGGAGCACTCGACAATGATGCGTGCTGGCAGAGTCGCCCTTGAAAAGACCTTTTTGGGTTTCACTTGGGAAATAAACTTCTGATTCTGTTAGCCGTGGCTGGGAATGGACCTCGGGTTGCCGGGTTCATTGCACAGTGTGCGCATCACCGTGCCTCCACTCCACCGTTGAGTTCATGTTTTGGTCTTAAATTTGCAGAAAATACAATATGCACTTTGAAGTGCATATCAGCTTTTTTTTTATTGTGTTACCACTCACTCACTTCTGTCAGGCCATATTTTTTCAATTGCGCCTCAGCTGAAACGCAAGCCGTTTTCATCCAATTGCGTGTACTGTGTATGCAAGCCATTGTACTGTGCATGCAAGCCATTGCGCGCTCACTACGCCCGTTTTAAAGGCCGTGCCTTGCGAATGCGATTTTTATTTTAACAGCGCCGTCAATCGATCCGCACGGCGCTACTCAACCGGCGCTGTTTCTGGGCAAAAAAATCTGTCTCGCTGGGGTCCTCCCCCCCCCCCCCCCGTCTGCACCAGACCACCACCCCTAATTCTTCAGACGCTGGCCACTCCTGCTACTGTTGGCTGTTCAGGAATTTTGCGGAGCCTGACTGGGCGTGGAAGGTGACATTTTCGTTTCCGAACACCCGGGCGGTATCTTATCGGCTCGTGAAGTCATTTGGCAAGACGCCCCCACGTTTCGTTTGGCTCCGCCTTTTTCTTGGAAGATAAAGTAACATTGTTTCAGTCTGACCCACACTCGCGCATACAAAACAAACGTAAGGTCGTGGGGAAAAGAGGTCGTTACGGCTGATACTGCTGGTGCCACCTACATCTAAGCACCACTTCCTTCTTCTGCTCGACTTCTCAGCTGTTGCACAGTCCGGCGTCTGACCTCCCAGAGGTCAGCTCTATACAGTATCCGACCATCTGCCGTTGGGGTCACTGAGCTCTCGGTGCCATTCCAATGTCTGTCCCAGTAACCCACATTAACCTCCGTCCTTGCCCGTCCAGAGCTGCACATGAGCTGCGAAACCCACCGTGCATTTTTTTTAACGCATACAACAACAAAAAATAATTATGCATTGCTGTATTTGCGCCGTCTCTTTAGAATGTGTAATTGTTATACATGATCACAATGCGTGGAGAAAATTTGCAGCACGTCTCCCGAGTTCGTGTGGCGAAGGATCTCGGGTCCTGTGATCTTAGGGCTCGTGAGAGGGCGTTCATCTGTACCGCTAAACCGTAGTGTCTTGTGAGTTTTTTTTAATTCGAAAAAAAACCGTTCTTCAAAGGATACAATAATTAAAAAACAGATTTTTCTATAGGTTTCCTTGGGTCGAAGACCAAGTTTTTGTACGATGTATTAATTGGTTCATCGGCTTGTAATCTAACGTAGCATCGTCACATTGCATGTGATAATTAATAGAATGATGCGGTTTCAGTCCCACGCCCCATGACCATAATATTAAGATTTCTCGTTTTGCCGAATGTTAACATTTTAAAGAAACGCGAGCAATGGAATAAATACGTGAAGACCTGGAGTACGCGATATTTACAGCAATTTTTTTTAACCACTAATTTTTTAACATGCAAGTGTTTTGCGGCCGCTTGGAATAATATACGTGCGGTTTTTTGGGTTGTCGAGCATTTTCTCTCGAGACATTTACCACGCACAAACTGGCTGAGGGCAACTTCAGCAGTTGATTTCAACTCGTGAAGTTGCCCGCGGTGAGTCGTGCTTCAGAGAGAGAGCAAAAAAATGCTCAACACGTGACCCAATCCGGGCAACCGCAACTGCGTTAACGTTAATAGGCATTCTTATTTCGACCACGATCCATTATGCATTACATTAACATAATCACAAACAATGCTCTTAAAATACTCGGCTGATTAATTGACCACCATTCACTTTCATAGAGATCTATGTTAGCAATTCACATTCATGGAGATCGACTAAAGTCCACTGCTATTCTCCACTTTAGAGATGTATGGATTTAAGCAACCCACCTTCACTCCGTCTACATTCGTTTTATTGTCGTCATCTTAATTAACTATCAGAGCCAAAAATAAGCCACAGCCACTCGCTTTCACGAACAATAAAACTCCATTGCATTGTCACGATTGCTATTACCCGAACCAAAACCTTTTA